GTGCAAATCGACAAGATGGATGACTGATGGTTGGACGACAAAGCCAACACCTCCAACGTTTCGTGAGGGAACCTTTTCACCACAATGATGAGGGTCCCATCACTCATCTTTCGCGCGTCCTTTCCTCTGGACTTCGTTTCCTGCAGAACGATGACATGGTACTTGATGTACTCCGCAGCATCGAGAAGAGCGTGAAGATTGGCGTTTGTGGAGACTGTCCTGGCGTTGTAGGTGCAGGGGGCAGTCTCCATGGCGTTTCGTCCGGGCATGTCGTTTTCCAATCCGAAAGGCGCCCTGACTATTCTGACATCGTTCTCGCCACCACCCAGCGCTATAGGCGGAATCCGACGTGCAGGATTTATTTCTCATCTCTTTGCTGATCGAGTAATAAAAAATTTTCTCCTACAAAAGCAGACCTAGGCCAGCTCTTGATTTCCACGGGGCGATCGCTTACCCGGGTGTGGAGCGGGGAGGAACGCGTAGCGACCCGAAAAAGTCAGACGGCGGTGGGATCTGGTTTGGCCGACTCTTAGCTAGGCATCCAGTCGAAACCGGAAACGTCCAACTCCTTCAAAGCTTGAGAGGCTTTGCCAGATATACACTCGACCGCAGTTCGACACCCAGTGTCACCCCCATGCCACGTTGAGGCGGCCTAGTATTGTGGGGTTGGATATAAACTGATTTAGTTATTTCTCTTTTCATTACAATGGAGGCCCCTTTCTGATTCATGGAGTTTTTGCGACATCATAACTATAATAAGATTTTATATCAAAACTTTTCGTAGTTCACATTGTCTGTCATTTTCTGAGGGAGCGCAAATGGCTGACATGAAGTGTGATTTCTCGTGTGGAAAAATTCCTCGCGAGGGATATTTCACGCGGAGGATTTCAAATATATTTCTATGGTTGATTTTTAATCAATCATAAATTATACTTCGCGACCAACTATTTACAGTGCTGCATATTGCCTGAGAGTATCGTGTGGCATAAGTCTCGTTTTCCGAAACACAACGAGGCACCTGAGCGGCACGCTTGAAAAATCGGAAAAGGTGGTGCGTCTTATACGCCGTAAATAGGCTAGTTCTTCTTGTTAAAATTGCGTTACCTCAACATACCTCATCAAATTTGCGATGTCCTTGTATTTACTAGAAGAAACTTTCGCTTTTTTTACACGTACTGAAGAAATTTGTGTATTAGATTGTACGAAAACTAATGCTGCATTGCATCCTACCGCGATGGAGCAAACACGAAAAACATTGACAGAGGAATCGTTTGATAGAGCAAAGCAAGCTCTACAAGATGGAATCCAAACTTTTGTCAAACTTTGTTCCACGCTAAGTTAATGAAATCCAAGCCAAAAATTAGGTTGATTTATAATCAATGCACGTTTTTTAACCTCTTTTTAAGCGCTGGTTTTAAAAGTAGAACTTCTTTACAAACCTTTTTTAAGCCTACCAAAAGAGCTTTTCCTCTAGCCTCTTATGTATGCCTACACTTTCGCTTACATGATTCTCTGTTTATCCCAAAGTTTCATGCCTTCAAATAAAAGGAACTATATCCCGGAATTCTTGCATTTGATTCTTCTTGCCCTAAATCCATTAAGAATAGCCCAATTCCTTTCAAAAAATATGCGTAACGATTGAGAAGTTTTGTCTTAAGGCTCAATAGTGAAAAATGTTCAAAAAATATTAACAGAGAAATTACCTCAAATTTGGGCAGTGGTTGGGGCCCATGAAACTTTCGAGCAAAAAGCGTGCAGAATTTTGGAGTTTACAGCAAGGATGCACCTAGTTCATTCATTGGTAGAAAAATGGTAAGGTTTTTTTTAAACCATTTACATGAGAGAAGTTATATATTTTTCAAAATCAGTTTTTGAACTTGAAATATTTTCTCTTAGAAAGATTTTCCAAAATTCAAACAAGGCACCAGTGCCTAATCGACCTTTGGTACACGATGAGCAAAGTGTGCTTTATTCTACTATGTTACGGAGCAAGTTATGCAACTTCAAAGTAAAGGTTTCCAGAAGAATTTACTTGCGGTCTTCAGGCTAAAAAATCTTTCTAATGATGGCTACAGTTATACAAAAGTATAGCTGTAGCCATCATTAGAAAGATTTCCTAGCTGTTGTATAGAAAAAGAAGCTGTTTGAAGCAGTCTTTATTGCACTTTAAAAAAATCCGGAAAAGTTTACTTTGGTTCAAATTTGAAATGTAGAAAGCATCAAATATCAATCACCTAGTATAAAAATTTAAATAATTGAAAAATTGAGTTCTCGTCTACAGAACCTATGCACACCAAAATTGCTCAGGCACGTACTCTTCACATCGGCCATTCACAAGTGCATTTGGTGAATTTTTCCCATGGCTAAAATAAGAAATCAAAGAATAGGTTGTATGAATGCAAAAATTTTTCGACTTTTTTGCGCCAAATTCGTTTCCTGAAAGTAACGCTTATGAAGAGCTTGAAATTTATAGTTACCTCGCAGAAGTCAACACTTTGCAATCAAAGTCTCAAGAGAGGCCCAGGATTGCTTCGGTAAGAAAACGAAATAATTACTAAAGTTTGGAAGAATCAGGTGCAATGCTCAACTTTCTTTTTTTTGTCAACTCTCATCTTTCTGGTCTATGCATCTTTCTAAAGAGATAGAAGAGGTGGCGAATCATAATATCACTAATATCATAAATACTCTAATAAAGGTTGAAAAAAAGTTTATCTCAACCTAAACGCACATTCATTGCTCCAGCAAACGTTCATAACTCATCGTCCACAAACGTTACGCGGATAAGAAGGCAAATTCGCAATCAGCATTCTATGCTCTTCAGCATCGTATACATTTCATTCAAGAGGGCCACTGCTTTTCTCGTAAAGGGAAGTGATCCTGTTTATAGAACTGCAATGTACTGTATTTGGTGCAGACCAGTAAGCTCACAGCTGTCACAAAATTTATTATGAGGAGAGGAGAAAGAAGAAGTGGGAGAAAAAACGATCGTAATGTTGCAGCGACACTCCCAGAAGTTCTATAAGCCATTTCAATTCCTGGGCTAATACAGCTACTAACTTTATAATAAAATCCGGCTTCATGTTTTGTCATTTTCTTTGACGATTCAGAGTGTTTTTGCTTTTAAAAGGCCGCATAAAAGCGCACAGACTAAAATCAGGGCCCAGCACGAGTTGGCATTTGAGAATTACAAAAACGAAGTCCCCTTCACACTGCAGAAAATTACAAGATACCTTTTGTAGTGTTTGTAGAAACCCTTCTCATTGTCTACAACGAAAAAAGTGGATTGAAGTGAAGAGAAGACATCAATAATTCAAATAATAATTAGCGAAAGGTGAAAAAGGCTGTTTTTATAACAACAAGAGCCCTAACAAAACATAAGGAGTGAAACTTAGGTTGAGTACTCATGGTAAGGCTTGGTCTAAAGAATAGATTTATGTAAAAAAATTTTGGAAATTTACGTGAGGATTTAGGAGAATAAAGGAACAACTTAGTCCGTTCTCGCACATTTCAAGGGTACTTCCGGGTTGCGCAGGAGCAGCCTAAAATCAAAAAACACTTACAACTCCCCTCATTCCCTTAACTTTTACATACTTTTTCGTACTTTTTTTTCATCGTCGCGGATGTACATATCAAACTTAATGTTTCAATATTGCTTTTCGTCGTCAACAAACTGTGGTTTACCTTGTGCGAAAAGGTCGTGTTCTGACACGTTAAATCGTGTGCACACAAATTTATGCACTATTCGTGTTGCGCTAATTCGATACTGTTGGTGCCGTATCGATATACGTAAGACGAAACTTCTTATACATCTCTCCTTATCTTTAAGATCTCTTATCTCGTTAGTACACAAATTAGTAGCGTCATGACTTATAATAACGAGTTAAAAGTGTTTACGTGTTTTTGTCTGTCTGTTTGTCTGTCTGTAACGAAATTCACAGAACGAGTCGCAGACAAAATTTCAAGCCGCAATTTTTTGCACAACACGCACAGCCACCATCCATATTCACCATGTCAAAGCACGAGCAGATCCGTTGAGTAGGTCCCTCAAAATTCGCACCCTAAACGGATCCACTCAACGTCTGGCGCGCAATATTGGATCCGTATTACCACTTATTGCAAAGTCATGATTATGTTTGGCAAGTGAATGTGCAAGCCATGATCTTTAGCCCAAAAATAGTGATAGAAGTCTACTACTCCACGAAGACGGCGCCAAAACGAATTATTTGCGTAAATGGTCAGCTTGCCAGGTTTTTACCTAGCATCTGAGAGGATTTTTGCACGGGGATGTAGCTCACCGTGGATATTATTCTTATGGCGACTACCAAGAAGCCATGATTCAAAAGTGTTCTAATTCTACATTTGTTCTTCGTCTTTCAAAGTGTCATTTACGCAAAATACCGATCTCACACGGAAAAGCTTTCGGAATGAATCGTTGTTTACGATTCATTCGTGAAGGCGGGCATTACACGGTATGTTTTAATGCTATGTTAAGCGGGAATGAGTATATGGCATATAGATAGAAGAGCCAGTGCGAGCCTCTGCGAAGCAGAGATGACGCATTGGTAGCTAATAAGTTAAATCAAGCAAAACACAGGCTATCTGGAGCTTTGGGCATTATTCCTCCACTGGATAATACATGCTTTAGCAACATCATCCTGAACAATTGATCTTATAAAGATAAGGAGAGATGTATAAGAAGTTTCGTCTTACGTATATCGATACGGTAATAACACCAACAGTATCGAGTTAGCACAACACGAATAGTGTATAAATATGTATGCACTATTCGTGTTATGCAAATTTACCTGTAACTGATAAAATCAGGTTAGAGCTTCAGATTCGGACTTATTAAGAGTTTTAGTTGTGCTTTTCAATATTTTGTCAGGTTTCTCAGAATCTCCCATGGAAACTTTACGAGTTCTCCTTTGCTTTTCCTCAAAAGCGGCATCGTGTGGAAGCGCCACTTCTAATAAGCCCTCCTACTAATGTGTGGCATTACCATGTTGAAGATCCTCGAGTCTTCTCGGTTTTCTAATACATCTCTTTTTAGCTACCAATCCTCCCCTCTCTTGCGCCGTGTCAGCATCGCTTGCCTTCCTGGATTTCATTGTGAAGAAACCCCAAATGGACTCCGATGTGTTCGAGATAGCGGTAATCATTATCCGTCGTGCATTTGAATGCTTGTCTAGAGATATGCTTTTGAGGCAATTTCAGAATCGTCAGGCCGAACTTTTGATATTAAGCCGTTTTTGAAGTTCCTCCTTGCCAATTCTAATCAAGATTAAACCTTTTGTAGGTAGCAATGATCAACTATGTTGATTTTTCTTTTGACAAGCTTCTTTTTTTCTGAAAATTATTAATTCGTGTCAAAGCTATTTTTCAACCTTAACTTTTCACACCGTAATAAGTAGAGCGCTTCTTGAATTCTGATTGAGATTTAGTATACCTTTTAATAGAGCAAAGTAAGCTCTAAAAAGTCGCATGTAAGCATTTGCTATAGCTTCAAATCCATCGAATTGGGAACCAGAATCTAAGAGGTTTTGGGATGAACTGATTTCACTCAAGGGAATGTTCATTAAAGGATTCAAAGATACAAGGTGGATTTTCATCTTCCTGCAAGCGTGAAGTATCTTGCTTACCGTTTCCTTCTTGGGTCTCTCATATCAAATTGGTATTTCTCGAGGACTAGAGTCTGTCGATAGCTGGAAATTGCTGTTGAACATCGGAAAACTTGTATGAAATTTATTGGTATGGGAATAGCATATGTTATTTCGGTAAAAACCAGGAAAATTTTGTTTTTGCAAGTTTTAGCTTGGAAAAAAATACAGCAACGCTTATGTGGATGTTTAAGGTGGAGTGTACATGCGTGAGGCAAAAGATCGTTTTTTCAACGAAAATATAAATTTTCTAAAGAGTCTTGAGCATTTCGAACTTTTTAGATTTCTATTTTTGACTCGAAATGTATTGAAGCTACTGCGAGCACTTACATGCCTTTTTACAGAGGTTGCTCTGCTATCTTCACGGTGTTTATGAATTATTGCAGTGAAAATTTCGGACTATATTTATTGGTCTCAAACTTCCTCTAACAAAGTTTTGAAAATTTTGAAACATACTTCAAGAACAGAAAAGGTCGTTGACATCGAAATTTATGCTTGAGATAAAGCCCCTTACATTTTCGGTCAACAGAACGGAAATGTAAAATACTCAGCTAAAGTGAACAAAAAAAACAGCAAGGAAACAATGGATTTGCTCCATTGTGTTACCAGGTATTCTTCAGCACCTGCATTGCCAAACCAGTGGTTATGCAACTCGATAAAATGCAGCGAAGTAGAAACTTGTGAAATTTTTAGCGATGGGCCACGATGTATTTCCACTCACGGTATGAACAATATTTCTTCGCACATCTTATGATTGTGTAAAAGATGTCGTATGCTTCAGGTCTCTGTGCAGCTATTTACTGCACAAAAGGCAAATGTGTTGAATATGGCAATACTTTTGGATGCTTCGATACAAGTAAGTCAGATTGATAAGCTTAAAGTGACGCTCAGTATCTGGAATCTTGAGCGTAGCTGTCGTTCTTATTTTTACTTAAAAATAGGTATCGCGATTGTCCATTGGTCAAATGTTTCTGACAAGGGAACGATACTTAGTCGAGGTGGCGAAAAAAACGAAAAATGTAAACTGTTTTGTACAGTATGAAGTTTTGGTTTTGAATCTGCTTTCGGTACTGCACGCTTTCTGGGAGGGAGATGGAAAAAATGGAAACTTCTTTACGCAGAAATTTCAAGGCGAAGCCACAATGAAATCATTTAGAACTGAGTCTGTGAGCTCAAATGGGGCCACGATTATTGCCAGGGCGCTTTACGCAGTTAATAGATTCAGTTTAATCAAGTTATGTAGTCGTTACTCCTCTCAAGCGCTGGAAGGATCTCAACACCTGTCTTTACTTTGAAAACCCTAGAATTTTTGCCTAACAAAATTTTCTTGTCTCCCCGTCCGGAACCGCTTGCAGATACCGTAGATCTGGGATCAACGTTCCATGCTCTGTAAGACAGAATACAGTCCATATGGAAACTCCACTTCACCAGGTATCCTTCCCTTGTGAACAGACCATTGATCCTTAGGAATCGTTCATGGCAAATACTCAAACCAATATACTCGAAATGGTGGACGTTATTATATCAGGTTGTCCGAAATTTACAGGTTTAGAGATCTTGAAAAATAAACCAAATCTTTTTCCAAAAAATCAGAGTTCCGTACAAAAAGATCCTGCGGACTTAAACTTGGTCAGGCATGTACTATTTACATAAAGCTTTATATGCACTGCGGCAAGTGTGCATATATTATATATGTCTGATTTAGGGAGCATATGCGTGACCAAGTCCGCAGGCACTTTTTTGGAGGGTGATCTGATTTTTGGGTTTTTTTTTTGCATTTTGCTCTCAACTTCCAAATGAAGTTCTTTGTGATCTTTTGAAAGCACTTTTATAATGGTTGCTTTGCTTTGTCTGTTGATATGTTTCCCACTTTTTTATATCCACACTGCAAGAATCACGTAAGGAACCTGCTTCAGTTTACGGACAACCTAATAGCTGCAATGACAAATAATAATTGCAATGGTATCTGCAAATGCCACACCAACTACACATTTACTACCGCTTTTACCGGGGCGCAAAGTTTTTCATACCGCTGCCGGACTTTGGTTGCTCGATAGTCTTGTCTGCGGACGAATTGAGAAATGTAGAGATACCCGATCGACAAAAGTGGTAATAACTTTAAACGATTTTATCTTAGCAATGTTTCGCCAGGAATGCCGTCGAAGTCCAGTGAATCAAGTACGTAAATGAACCATTCCATCACAGCACTAGATGCGTAGGACAGCCACATACTCAAAGCCACATCATACCTTCTCTCACCTATTCATAGGGTATCTAACCTTAAATGAGGTTTTACAGAGAGTTCAATGAAGTGCTCGGTTACAATGCAGTCTTCGTTCCTTTTCAATTAAGCAAATGTTTCTAGATTTTTGGATGTTGGGAGTTCCGAGTCGTGTGTTAGTATAGACAGCGACATTTAGCTCAGCATTATCGTGAGACAAAAGTGACTGGCTAATGCGGAAATCGATTCGATGTAACTAACCAGATGTGCTTTGGGAGCCAGAAGAAAAAGAGTCTTGTCTTCAATGCACGTATCACCGTATGTTTATAACGTGAGATAAGGAGGGGTGAGTGTGCTCATCGCTACACCGCTGCGATCTTTTTCATTCGTCACGCAAAGCAAGCAAGCGACTTTTGTCTACTGCTTACAGAATTTGATATGGTTTGCCTAATTTATAAGGAGTTGCCGTAAACTTGTCATTAACGCACCCATGTCGTACAATTAGCTGCATACTTGGCAAGGTACATCCACTAAATGAATGTGTTTTCGGAAGTCCGAGAAAGCTCCAACCGCTGTTCAACACAGGCTACTTATACCAGTGTTGCCGAATAACTTCTGTCACACTTTTATTTTCACTTTTTAAAAATCTCAGAAGCTTTTGAATAATCTCATGCTTTGAGACAGAGTTCACTTTGTGAGTGGATACTTTTTGGGTATCTAAGCATTAGCTTGTCAGATAATTTCAGCTACATTTTTTATTTTGATGATAATCTTAGGGTCTTTCGAACGATTTTATGCATGGGCAGGTGGGCAGGGTCAAAAGGGTTACTCGTCGGTACCGTCGCATCCGTGCTCAAAACACCCACTTCGTGGCTGGAAATCCGCTTCATTCCTATTTCTATAGATGAGTTGGCCTTCTTGGCATTCCTACAGGAGATGAGCTAGAAACCGGATGTGGTAATCAATGTTAACATAGTCTCTCGTGTTTAGCAAACATGGGATGAGTTATGTCTACATACCTTTATCTGAGCGGTTCGAATGCTATGTGAGCCCTCTTTGCGATCATCGACATCACAAAGAAAACGTATTCAAAAAACGCAAAATATCGTTTCCAAGCATTCTTTGTTCATTTCTATACAATGCACATAGAAAGAAGAGTTGAGGAAGGTTTTGAATTTTTTGATGTTTTTTCAAACACTCGTTTTTGAAGGCTAAAAGACGGAGTATTTCCATATAAGGGACAGGTCAGACTACGTCCTATAAAACTATAGGAAAGGGAAAGCACAACTACGTGCAAGAAAAAAAGAAAATTTGGAAGTTTGAGTGTGTTTACAAAATTAGAATAGATGTCTTGGTTACTGCATTTGCGGCATCAATCATGTTGGGGATAGGACTTTCTACGTTCCAATGTGCAGAAAATTTGGGGTTTTAGGGAGTTTCTGGCTTTTTCAGAACAAAATACGAAAAAAATAACAAGAATTATGTGACAAGAAGAGACGTAGTCACGTCTACACACTTATAGCTGTTAAATTGTCAAATGTGAGCCAGCATCTTGGTTATTCTTGACAATTTAGCCAAGGAGACGTCTTCAAATATTCAAAAATCAGATTTGCGCTATATTTACTAATTTCTTCAAAGTCGCATAAAAAAGGATTTACAAAAGTTTTTGGTTCTTTTGAAAATTTCTACTTTTCGTTTTTGAAAAGCTATGGGCCCATGAATCATGCTAGTGAGTGGCCCTCGATGCCCTAAGTTGGCACGATTATGGAGATTTCAAACTTGTGGAGGTCCAGAAAAAAATAGAAAAAGTCGTAACAGAGTTTTCAACCTAATATCTGAATTTTATGCTCACTGGGAGCACATGAAGATGGTGTATGGTACCAATGCAGGCGATTTACGAACTTCTTCTGAAAAAATACATCTACAAGGCATTCAAAAATATAAGACTTTTTGAGCGAATGCGCGAAATGTTTATTTTCTAGGCTTGGATCATTACCACAAGCAGCTCCGGCTCCAGCCTAAAACAGCGACCAGCACCATTCTAGCTACTGCATCATGTTAAAGGCAGCGTCCCGGCAAAAAGATGGATGCTGGGTTTCTGTGGCGATTTTAAAGTAGACCTCCTACCTAAGCGATGACTGAAGTCCGGAGCGGAAAAAAAGAGGGTCTACCAAGCCTGAAATTCGCCCTGAAAGTGGCCCGGATCTCATGCAAGGCAGAGACGCAGAGTCGTTGCAGGACCCTGCGCTCTTGACTGTGTGCACTATGGGTGCTCTGGCCTTGCAGTTCGAAATCGATTTGTGAGCGGCGTTCGGGCCTCATAGGTTCGGGTCACATGGTGGGGGGGGGGGGGGATTTGTAGACTTCGTAGACCCCCTTTCGTGCTGCAAACTTCTGTCTTCGTTTAGTTAGGGGGTCTACTATTACATCAATACCAGAGCCAGGGACCCTCCAATCTGGTGGGAACGCTGTCTTTAAAGGCAGTAGGTCGGCAGAATGAGACCCGTGGCAAAACAAGGTCACAGGGTAGGAGCCCCATAATGGAACCTATGGGCCAAAGTTCGATCTTTCTCTGCCACTTCTAACCCTCGAAATTTCAAAGCAAAAGCAGCGCTCATCTCCTGTCCTTCTGAACCCGCCCACTCCATGGACGAGTGACTTCCGCGGTCAGAGCGCCAGCCGCAATGCTATAAGCATGAGGTCCCGCAACGACTCTGCGTCTTCGCCATGACGGGCTTCGCGTTCACTCGTCCATAGGGTGGGCGGGTTCGGAGAGGACAGGAGATGAGCGCTGCTTTCGCTTTGAAATTTCGAGGGTTAGAAGTGGCAGAGAAAGATCGAACTTTGGCCCATAGGTTCCATTATGGGGCTCCTACCCTGTGACCTTGTTTTGCCACGGGTCTCATTCTGCCGACCTACTGCCTTTAAGCAAGTGGAGATAAATGCTTGCTTCAAATGTAACAGCAGCTTCCAAGATCACCTGGAATGGGTCAAAGGTTTTAAATCTACTACGACATTAAGCAGTCATGGCATTTTGTGCTTGACGCCACATACAAGTATCTATTAGGTCATGCCGAAAGTTCTGTCGTTTCATTTTTGAAAAATCATAACTTTGCGCTGTCACAACGGATTTACTTTCTTACATTTTTATTAGAAAGAGTAAATCCTTCGCGTTTGAATGCTGTTTTGCGTAGCTTGCTCTTCACACTGGGTGCGGAGAGAAAAATGGAAAACTAAGAGCATATAAGCTTTGACCATTTTAAGTTAGCTCACCAAAAATCCGGAATGCCGCATATGTTTTTTGACCTACCCTTGCATCTATGAAAAGTTTGTGCTGTTTGGACGTCTTTGTGAGAAGTTATGATTTTCGCTAAAATCGACGAATTAATTGATTTTGGTGTTTTCCATAGTAAACTCGATATACATAACTTCTCACAAAGACGTCCAAACAGCACAAACTTTTCACAGATGCAAGGGTAGGCCAAAAAACATATGTACTGACGATTTCAAATTTTTCTGCGGCATTCCAGATTTTTGGTGAGCTAACTTAAAATGGTCAAAGCTTATATGGTCTTAGTTTTCCATTTTTATCTCCGCACCCAGTGTGAATCGCGAGCTCCGCAAAACAGCATTCGAAAGCGAAAGATTTACTCTTTCTAATAAAAATATAATGTGGTAAATCCGTTGTGAAACGCAAAGTTATGATTTTTCAGAAATGAAACGACAGAACTTTCGGTACGACCTAATATATTAGCGTACGAGCTCAAACACCAGCACGCAAAACTGTGGGGACGTTTTTTCTACGTTCAGAATCTATACTTAGAACAAATACATGAAGATTGCCAAGGAACTCGCTTCGCACCAGCGGAAAAGAGCTCAAAACGGGATTTAGCAACAATGCGAAAAACGAGCATGCGAAGATCCATGAAAAAAATCTGCTATGAGAAGAAGAAAGTGAAGCTTGCTAAGCATGTTTGCGAGCACTTCCGCAGCCAGCAGTATATCCGTGAAATTCTCACCTTTGGTTTTTCAACAATTATTCTTACCCATTTGAGAGGGTGGACAGAGATTTGAACTTCATTAATCCCAATAACTCCTATAATTTTTTTGAGGAAAGAACAATATGAAAAATTTCAACATAAAGCCTTACGTAACCGCTTTCTGCATGGCTGACACAAAACGTCTTCAAGATAGATAATGGTTTCCAGACATTTTTTACTTCCAAGCTGTTTTAGACTGCGGTCTACATGAAGAGTTCAAGACGTGTGCTGCATGCGAGCAGACCTGCAGACATAGACAGGTCAGCCTTAGTTTTTCAATTTGTGCAAAAAATCAAGGAATGCGGCTCGCTGCTTTGATCCAACAAAGTGCGGATTGTGAGAAAGCGCTTAAACAAAGTTTTCTTGGAGACAAGTGTTCATGAAAAAAATTTGACACACTCAGCGACTTACTCCAACCAAATGAATGAAAAATTCTTTGACGCAAATACAGGCCCAAGAATGTCGCGAACAGGGCACGAAAGCATTGCACTCCGGTACCTTGTCATGTAACCAAAAGAGCGGTTCAAAGACCGCAGTTTTGCTTTGGGAACTGGTGAAGCGCTGTAGTCAAAATTTGAAAATGAGGTGAGTTTTGTGGTTCGTATGATCATTTCTGTGCTTTCATCTTTCAAATGTCTGCTAACTATACTTGGGTAAATTCGAAATTTTTCATCGAGTGAATGAATATCGATCAAATTCGAAGATGAAAAATTCCGATTAAACGAATATCGAATGGATTCGAGATTTAAAAATTCTCGAATGAATGAATTCCGAATAAAATCGGAAAATCAGAAATAGCGAATGAATAAATATCGATTATATTCGAACGTTGGGAGTCGAATTTTGAATAAATATTTGAATGATTAATCGAAATAAAGCAACCAGTCTAAAACTTGCTGACATATTCGGATAAAGCCGGTTCTTTCACAATCAGCACCCTCATATATTCATGCCGATCCATTTATAATCTGTACCATCAGATTTTCCAAAAATCGGCGAAATCGATAAAATAGATAACCAGCACCCTCATTTACCCCTACAATAACTCCCAGCCTCGTAACTCAAGATTTTCAAAAATCGATAGAGGCAACAAAGGAAATGTTTATTGATAATCAGCACCCTCCCTTACCCCCTGTACCATCCCCTCCCCCGTCAAGTATACAAGTGAAGTATGTGCGGTGCTGTCATAATCAAAGCTCGCATTTCTCAATGTGGACCTTTTTCGTCCGGCTTTAGTCTTTACTACAGTTGATAGGCTAATAGCTTCCGGTGTAAAGTGCCTGCAAGTCTTCGTGAAAATCTTGGGTGCACTGTGATAACAGAACTATCGTGTATTAACTACTAAACAAAACTTTGTTGAAAAGTGGTATGACTGCTAAATTTAGCAACCGTCTAATCCTCCACTACAGCTGCGGTGTTCTTTACTCAAAATACATTGATTCGCGAAAATTCTTTAAGGTAAAGAACAGAGGCAGTTGTGCAGCATGAGTTTTACAAGCAAGAGTGCTCACTAGTCTGGAACTTTGCTTACCTAAAGCATGAGCAATGCAAAAAAGAAGAGAAGCAGGCATGTCAACACATTTCCTGTATATGAAATCGGAACATAAGCTTGAATTTTATAGCTTTTTTTTTGCTGATTTGGCGCCAGTAGCAGTGCGAACTATCTCATTGATCGAAAAAACATTAATTAAAGTTCACACTTTTTTTAACTTTCGCAAGCAGTCGAAGGAATGCGACTTTCCATACAGTTCAAAGGCCATCACGATTGCAAAAAGATGCATTACCGAGTTTTGTGGAAAAAAACGCAGAAAAAGCGAGCTTGATACTCAGCAGTTGGCTCTGCATCAAACTTGAATAATATGAGTAAAGAGTTCATTCGAATTCGAATTCGAATAAAAATTCGAATAAAACACTCGAATAAAATCTATCCGAAACCACGTTTTTTGATTATTCGAGTTAGAAATTTTATTCGAAACCTTATTTTCTCATTTATTCGAATTTCGAATATTATTCGAAAATGGAAAACTCCGAATATCGAATTTCGAAGTGCGAATATATTCAAACGTTTTATTCGAATGATCGGATTTTTATTAGATTCAGACCCAAGTATGCAGTATACTGCTAACCTTCTAGATGATACCATCCAGCACTCTCGCATCTGTTCAGCGGTGTACAGTTTTCCCTTTAAGAAGAGGATAGAGATCGAGCAGTTGAGCATTTAAAGGCAGCGTCCAGGCAGATCTGGATCTATGCGGATCTCACTAAGAGGGTAATCTTGAAGCCCTAACTAAAACACTGCTCAAGCAGCAGCTCAAATAATGAGCTCACAGTTGAGATATTCTCCTCCAAACTGAACCCCGAGATCGCATTCGCATGGATTCATGGCGCAGAACGTGGGTCCTGGCGCGAAATTGATGGGTTTCGCCATGAATCCATGCGAATACTATCCCGGGGTACTTTAGAGGCGAATATCTAAACTGTGAGTTCACCATTTGCGCTGCCCTTGTGCAATGTCCTAGTTAGGGCCCAAAAATTACTTTCCACATCAGAACCCCGTAAGTCCGGATTTGCCTGGACGCTGCCTTCAAATCTGTAGCTTCGTTTCTCAAACCTGGCTCTTCAGGTCAAGCAAAAATTTATCACGAAGCTATCTCACATAAAGTTCCTTGCCTGATATATCCTCATATTTTTTGTGGGTGCACCGGGGCCGGTCCACTTCCTAGGAACTGCTCTGGTTATAATACTTTTTTCGAAGGTGAGTAGAATAAAACACCGTTTTCGAGTTCTTTCTGGACATTCGTGCAGGTTCATCTCCTTTATTTATAAGCCTCTCACAATCAACTCCTTCAGAGGGCATTCGCGCGACAGTATAGCCAAAAACTTTTGCATGAGAAGCAAACTGAGATAAAATGGTCCAAATTTCGTCTACGTATCTGATGTGTAAGCAGAAAAGCGGGATTGGATATCAGCAATATTCATTCCTTTTCCAGCCAAATCACCTCTATCTTGAGCTACAATCGTCTCAACTATTTGGATTCGGTTAAGGATGTAAGCAATCAGACATGAAAGTTACTTTTATGTGTTCTCTTCTTTGCTGGGTATACTCATTTCAATCGTGTAGAATTTTCTAATGCCGAAACCGGGTCAATTAATGCAACTTTATTGAACTCGACGTTCCAAACAATCCATCTTCGTTAGGAGTTTGAAAAGGATTGTAGCAGTCTATTTTCACTCCGCCAAAAGTCTCGTCAATTGCTGCACGTCTAAACCTTCCCTTGATGCAATACACATACACTGGAAAGCAAAACGAGAGTGCTTACTTTCAGTCCACCGTAACATCAATAGCCCGCACAAGCGTGACGGACGCAACTGAGTTTATACTCAGTGTGTCAAGTTATATATTGTATGCGGATGTGATCTTGCTTAATGGTAGCAGACGAAGAGATCATTCGTAATGACAAGACATTCATTTTTATTATCCAACTAGTTGGCTTTCCCGGTCCAGCCCGGGCCATTGTTCACCTACACTGCGAACCCCCCCCTTCTTGTTCGCTACTTGGCTTTCCCGATCCAGCCCAGGTCATTGGTCACCTGCACTGCAAGTCCCCCCTTCTTATATGTTGTGGATGACTTACCCTGGAACCCGCTTCGAAACCGCATCCTCGTGATCCTGAGATGAAAATGAGCTTCACCGCCCTTCTTCACAGACTATGGTAAAATGCTTGATCAAGCATGATAAGCCCTCAATTCCTTAGAAAAACGTAAACAAATCAATAAGTCGATAGAAGGACCCAACGAATCGCTGCGAAAAGTAGCCTATCATCTGCGCAGGGGTCGAAAACATATGTGTGCAAAGTTTCAGTTGAATCGGTTGAGCGGTGCGCGTTTCTATAACGCACATACCCTCCAAACTGACAATTTTTGAGTTTTATATATATACTAGCTGATCTGCCCGGTCCAGCCCGGGAATGATCACTGATCGGGAATGAAGATAAGGTATTCGGTGGCATTGTAGAAACTGTGTAAAGAACAAAAACAAAATGTGAACACTTATTAGTCGGTAGCATATCTTTCTTTCTCCAAATCAAGTTCAACACGCAAAACCTAAGCAAGCAGCGCGAGTTAATTGATAGCAGCGCTCATTGTTATTATGAGGATCATTTTTTGTGACACTTTGCCGTTAACCGGCTACTTCATCTTCATTCACTGCTTGCCGTCAATTTTTGTGGAGTCGGCAGTACTTTGCACTCGCGCACTTTCCTGGTCCAAGGGATCAACTATAGCGAATGTGAGTTGTCGCTTGTCTTGACATTATTTCTGGTATTGACATATAATTTGTGCGCAATCTCATGAAAAATTTTGACCCCTCATTGTTTAAATTGAGCATGTAATGAAGAAAGCATTGATTATAAGCGTAAATTGAGCACGCTTCCGTACAAAACACTCGCTACAAAGCACTCATGGTCTCTTGCACGCTAAGGTTTCCGCAGCATAAGATACATTTAGTGCATCCATTTGAATGAGCAATTGAGACTCACATCAAGAACACTTTTCACTGCACTTCGTCAACAGAAGTTCACAATGAGACATGCCAGCCTTGTTTACATACCCCTGTTTTGATAGCAAATGATAAGAATCATTTTTATTGCAAAGTGCTGCAAATCAATAAATCGATAGAAGGACCCAACGAATCGCTGCAAAAAGTAGCCTATCATCTGCGCAAGGCTCGAAAACATATGTGTGTAAAGTTTCAGCTTAATCGGTTGAGCGGCGCGCGTTTCTATAACGCACATACCCTCCAAACTGACAATTTTTGAGTTTTATATATATATAGATATATAATTGGTATGTACAACATAGCAAACACATACTTACAATCTATAACATTGTAAGTATTCGTGAGCTATGTATGCTTTTTACAGACCTCTTTGTGCGTGGACCGATTGAGCTGAGACTTTGCACACATATGCTTTTTACACTGGGGTTGTCACAGGCACTTTTTGTGACGATCCACCACGCCCTTTCATTGATTTATTAGTTGGTTTTGGATCTAAGATAAAGAAATTCTACGTGTTGCGACCGAGCATTTCCCATTGTCATGTGTTCATTTCCGAGGTCAATGCTGTGAAACCGTATAGAAGTGTAATTAGGGTAACATTTGCTGCTCAAAGCGAATTTGGACAGGGGAGAAAGTTTTGTGTAGAAGTGGGACGAGTGGTGAGTTTTGTCGTGCTATACTCACAGGACCGACGTAGTCGAG